TACAATGATATAACAGTTTAATCGCATCTCTTTTATACATTTCCGATAGTTGATGCTTCAAGTGTTGAGTTAATTACAGTAGCTAATTGCTTCCGTATAAGTGAAATTTATATATATAAGGTTAAGAAGCTAGGATGGTTCGAAATACTTAAAGATTGGAAAAATATCTTACTTGGACCAAGAGAACTTGGCCCAAGTTTTATCTTAGTAATTATTTTGCTAGATTTGAACCGATAAAATCTAATAATTCCCAGATATTTCAAACCCTCACTTCGTACTCCCGCAACTGCTGCCTTAAGCGCATTGTTGCATAGCGGTATAAAGGTAGCGCTGTGACACACGGTGTGCTGCTATCATATATCTTTGTGCAACTTTCAATTCTGGTCAATGTTGAGGATTGAAAATTGGGTTGAATGGTTAGGCATGTCCATGAAGAGTAGTAAGGATGATTATTAGCACTTATAATTTTTCTCTAGATAAACGAGAGCACCACTGGTGACCACCACATTCGTAATGGAATGTGATTTATTAGAAAGAGATGGGGTAAATCAGGTAGACAAACTAGAGTCTTTTTTATAAAGTTTAGCACGATGTTACTCTTCTTACTTCATTCCTCTAAAAAACAGACAATAACCAACAGTTGTAGTTTAGAATTTGTGGTAAGCTTACCCAGTCCTTTTGATTTATTGGCCTTTGTTTTCTCCTTACTTTTTTTATCTAATTATGTTGCTCTGTCGTTTTTTATCTAATTATGTTGCTCTGTGATACCTTGATGCAGTTCTATCGGAATTTCTTTAGCTTTTAGGTTGAAGGTAGTCAGAATGCGCTCAGCTGTGATGTGTCGTGCACTTTCAAAAGCCTTGCAGAGGCATGTCTCAGCGATGGCTGTTTGTTCTGGAATCAGAATGCCGCAAGTTTTGATAGCTCGACAGGTGTCATCTACTCGACGTATGTTGTCACAAATTATTAAAAGGAAATGATTTAGCGTTTGAAAGTGTGGGAGCTATGAGAACCGGAGACCTTTCTGCTGCGGGTCCGGCAGAGAGCTATCACAGGTCCTCTCATCTCCCGCCACATAGGAAAACTATTACTTGAGGTTGTCACTGTGGAACAAACAGTGCGCAGTGTCATCTTACTAGAGCTTATGTAAGCTTTATTCATAAAGAATTGCTACCTTCCAAATATGTCGTGTCTTAGGACCGACCAAGTAATTATATATTTTTTTTTGGGTATGGAAATTGCGTGGAAATAAGCCGTAATTTTTCTTGCAGTCAAAAAAATGATAATACTATTCCAATCATTTTTTTCGCTTCAGAACTAAATAATGAATTAATTGATGCTCTAAAGAATGAAATTACGGCTGAAAAACAGCTAGAGAAGGAAAATCTTCGTGGTGAACAAGCTCCAAAAATCTCGGGTTTCGAAATTACAACTGATGGTGCCAACGTACAGTTGGCAAAGATCCATGGCAAAGAAAAGTAATTTTCAAAATTTATGTAATGATTTGAAGTCGTTTTGTAGCAGCAGTAATATATGAATAGCGTTAAATTGCGTAAGTCGCGAACACGAAATATGACTCCGAATATTCAATCACAGATGGTTATACCATTTGTTAACTCGCTAAATTTAGGTCATACGGCCAGTAAATATTGAAAAATTAAAAAAACCTTTGAGACAGTCGTCTTGGGAAAATCTAAATCAGTTCTAGTGATTATTTCCTTAGAACTCATACAGCGTACAAAATTCCACATTATTACCGAAAACTCATATTTGATTACTGGGTAAATTTTCCAGAATTAACGTTTACTTCAATGTCAATCATTCAGTGGATATGGAAGGCGAAGAAGACGAGGTTTATCTTCTCTTCCTTTTTATTTCAATGTTTATCTCATTTTTATCGTCTTGAATTTTTTATTTCAATGTTTATCTCATTTTTATCGTCTTGAATTTAGAGTTTTCTTTCGCTAGTAGCTAAGCTGGCACATTTTGTCATAATTTTCTATTCTCCCATCTCCTTTATTTATCACTTCCTGTTAGTTGTCATCTTCTGTAGGATGAAGGAGTTCCACTTGCCTTGCCTTCGCTTACGATAGAAATCATCAAAGCACAGCAGCGATTGTGTTTTTATCTCGACTTATGCGAGAATGAAGATGCAGCGGAAGCAAATGAACGATGTAAGTAACATCCAACTTTAATTATCCTTTTCTGGATCAAGTGGACTTAATAAATTTACCAAAATTCATTTAAAGAAAGTAAGAAAAAAAATTTTTTTCTGGTGATTTTAGTGTTTTATTTACAGTCGATTTCCGTGTGGCAGAATTTTACATTGCTCCAGCATCCAAAGGAACAGAGGATGAAGACGTACCTGAATCAGTGTATTCTTCATCCGGCAAATATATTGACCCAGTATGAATTTTGGATGTGATTTAATTTGCACGAGTGTTTCTTAGTAGTGGACAAGGAGATGGTAGAACTTAGTAGCGGTTTCTCAGAAGTTGCTGTTAGTATGTGTTCGATAATTTGAATATAAGTGGATTGTGTGATCTCTTGAAATAAGAAATGAGTTTTTCTAAAGGCTTGAGGATCGAGTTAGTTAATTGTAATCAAAATTTCAGACTTTGCATGATCTTTTGTTCAATCATTATTTGGCGGAACGTGGCTTCGATCAGAAATTTTGCCGTGAAGTTGTGGATTTTGCTACACACTATGAGCACTCACAATATGTTAAACTGTTAACGGATATCCAATCATTTGTTTCGAGATGAAGAAAAAGGCATTAGTAAAATGGCTGTTGCTTATGAAATCTTTCAAAGTAACTTCTGAGCTGAAACTCCATAAGATACTTTGTTTCTTTGTGTGTTTGGGAGTCCTTTAATTAATTCATGTTGAATTTTACGCATTCTATGGCTATGAATCGTTGATCTTAATACCTTGTTTTTATTTTATTTAGTAAAATTTGCTAAATATTATTTTCATTTCTTATTTGCATCAAAAGTCTATTCCTAGACACAAAGTATTGTTATTTTTTTATTATCAAGAATTTGATTGATTGGAGAAGTTATCTCGAGCTAGCATTCAATCAATTTAAGGATAAGAAGAAAGGAAAGAACTGACGATGCTTAGGTGTTATTATTTAGAAACTGAAGGGGAGCTTGTTGTACAAGTTGCACTGTGTGGCATCATATAATTCTTTTGAATTTAAATCCAAATATCGAGCTATATGATAAAAGGGATGGTTCAAGGACACTAGGACTACTTTTGTTACCCATTTGGTCGCTTTAGTTGCTAGGTGTAGGTTAAGTGATTTTAACCTGATAGTGGCCTGACTGGACAGTTCAGTGGTCGAGTTTTAAGCTGGATCTATTTGAGAAAAATGGGCGAGTTGGTATGTATGTAATAATGTTATAATTGGAAGATATTATGATGTGTTGCTGATTTTAGAATATTTTCGAGAATGGCTGGTAAATGTGAAGTAAGACTAAAGGAACTGCAGCCAAGCGATAGTGAAATACTAATATCATTAGTGAGGAATTATTTAAAATGTTCACCTGATCTGGATAACGAAGCTACCATTAGGTTTCGTTCACCTTACTTGCAAACAACAAAACATGATGCACGTGGAGATGCGGTGGCATTGATTGTTGAACATTTGCATCAAAAGTTAATATTTTCACAATTTTTATTTGTAACAACATTTTTCGGTCTGTTTTTCTGATCCTCTTGCCAGACATCTTTGTTTTTTCTTTTCTGCTTTTCTGGAAGTTGCATGCTGAACTATTTGAAAAGAAAAGCGTTTTTTTGACACTCCCTCAATCTAATAAGAGAATCATTTACCAGTGTTCTATGCAGTCAAATAGGTGATACATATCGCAGCTATTTTTTAGAAATTTTCCGCCTTGGGCGGGTTATGCAGTAGCATATTCAATAGTGGATATATATGCAAGTGAACTAAATACAACAGAGGTACCATTTGATGAGAATGATTACAGTACAATAGACGCCACAATCTGGTGTCGTGAAGTTATACATTATTTGAATATGTATTTCAACAGTTTGGTAAACAATTCTGTTCCACTACCAAGTAATTCATTTACCAGGATTATCATTTATATTATTTACCTTGGTAGTATGTATGTACTTAAAGATTAATTAGTTAAGGGATAATAATGTTTGTAACATATTCTAATCAGTTATGATAGAAATTTAAAAATAGATAAGATTTTTTTAGTACTGTTTTCTGTATTTTCTGCTACGAGGATATATTATAGTAACAGTAGTAACAAATCCATCCGATCATTCGTACTGGAGTAAATTAAGTAGTAATACAACTAATTCACACTTTTCATTCATTTAAAATAAAAATGAAATGAAATTTTTTTTTTAGTTAGGTGAGAAAGTATTAGATTTGTACACGGTTCAAGGATTAGCATAACTTATCGTTTCCGAATTCTTATACCCCGAATTTCTTCAGAGATTCAATCAATTCCCGATCAGTTGTTGTATTCTTACTGTGCCCAGAAAAATCGACGTTCCAAAATGGAAGATCGTGCAGTTCTTCTGCCTTCACTTTCCGTGATTGAGCCAACTAAGGTACTTTTTTCTTCTATCATTCCTTCAGGTATAGTCCGCTAAAACAAAAATTATTTGAAAATATTATTTGAGACTACGTCATACGTTTTAATTTGCATACATATTTCAAAAGATAATTGCATGTTTTTCTAGCGTTTTTATGCGGATATATATGAAAGGTGTGGTCCGCTAAAACGATTCTGTTATCACTTAATGAAAAATGAGTAGTTTTACGCCTATGGCAAATTCCAATGAGTTGTGAGTGCCCAAATGCACTGAATCGTTTCAAGTTCTTATTATATAAGTTATTATTATATCACAACCCACTGGAGATAAATTCTTATTATATTCTCAAGGACAAGTTATCTCCAAAAAAATTGAAATTGAAGGTCTTGTGAATTTGAATCGGGGATGAGTGATCGTGCATGGCTATTATGGTTATAGTGTTTCTTAACCTTAAAAAAAAAAAAAAAAGGTGGTTTGTAGGGTGCTTGCCGTGATCGTGATTCGTTTTTTGCCGTATTCGATGGGCATAATGGAGTCGATTGCGCCAATTATGCAAGCTCCCACTTTGCAAGATGCCTTATTGAAAATACTCAATACGCTGTTGGTCAAATTGAGAATATAATGAGAAATACCTTTACTGAGCTTGATAAAAGACTCACTGCACGATGTAAAAATGAGGTTTGCATAGTGTACCTTCTGTGCAGTACCTTTGGTAACTATGAAATTATGTAAAACTGGCGGCATCTTATTATGCTAAGAGTTTGGTTTAAACCGCTATGCGATCTGGAGTAGGAGAGTAAAGCAGGGTAGCTTGTTATCACTCATCTGCAGAGCTTTTATACACCTTACTGCTATTCTTTCAGCATATAAAAGGTGGCACTACTGCTGTTTGTGCTTTTCTGCGAGCTAGGAGGCATTTGTGTGTTGGTTGGTGCGGTGACTCAGCTGTAGCTGTCTTAAGAAAAGGTACAGTACGGACGTTATCCTCAGCCCACTCACCAGATGTTCCGGTAAATGTATAATTTTTTACACTGAATTTGAAAACTTATTTTTTGAACAGAGTGGTTGACTGCTGGAGGCGTTTTCAACATTTTCAAATGTAATTAGTATGATGATGATGGAAATGTAGATCCACAATGAGACATTGCAGATAGCATATTTTTTGTAAAAATCATGAAGTCGAATGTTACGTCTACATACTTTAAGCCGTTGTTATTTCCAAGATTTTTCGATTCTAGGATTTGATAGTTTGAGTTCAAAGTAAGCCGGGGGAGATCAATTAAAATAGAGTTTCAATTTCAGTTAGGATATTTATGAAGCAAGCCATTTGTTATCATTCGCAGTGTTACGAGGTATGAGTCTGTAGCTGTGGATGTGGCAGAGATTAATATTAAGATAGTTGAGAAAAGACTGTTACGTTTTTCAATTTCCATTGGACTTTATTTTGCTCAGGAAGAAGTGCGTCGTGTAGAAGAAGCTGGTGGAATGGTTGTTCCGATACAAGGCGAGCTGAGAGTCAACGGAATTTTAAATCTAACACGCTCTCTTGGTTTTTTTTTTGTTGAATTTGCAAAGCGAAGTTTTGGCAAACTATTTTTTGAAAAGTGTGAAGAAAATCATTTTGCAGTGTCTGATTCTTATTGTGTACTACGTGAATTTGAGTAGTACTATGTGCAATAGTATAGTAGCATTATGTAGTAATAGTAGTAGTGAGTAGTAATTTGAATAGTAGTATTTAAGTAGTATTGAGTAGTTGTAATTTGAGCTATCATTTTAATGAAACCCATGACTGTTTCTCTCTCCCCACTTTCTCATTCAACTTTCACAAGCATTTTTGGAGGCGTTAAGGGTTTGTTGGATCAGGTTATTGCATAATCTCAATCAGTAAATCAAGATGAGAATACGGTGCTACCTTTTAGTTTCCAATTTTTTTCATTGAGTTTATAGCGTAGAATCTTTGATCTTATTGTATTGAGATTTTCTACAATTTTCTTTTAAAGAAGTTTTTCTCAAAATTTTCCGGTCTCAGAAAAAAGATCTTGACAAAATCATTGATTGATTCCATAGTATTTGCAGGCGATATTGATGGCAGACCGATGATATCACCTGAACCAGATATTTTGTCATTTGAGCTTGATAATTCCGAATACCTTTTATTTTTATCTTGCGACGGTGTTTGGGATTCAATGAGTGAGCAGGAGGTGTATTCTCATGTTGCGCAGTTTGTTTGTAAAAATTCACAAGAAAGTAAGCCTGCTTATCTGTTTATTACTCAGTTTTAGTAGTTCATAAAATTTCCTTTATCGAAAAATTAAAGTTTTTCTTAAGAATCTTCCCGGAACAGTTGTAAAGAAACCAAGTATATAAGGTTAATTGGAACTAATTTAAAGACACAATTCACGGTGACATCAACTTACAGGATTTCGGAATGCTTACATTATAGGTTATGGTAAGCTGGCAGAGTTCATTGTTGATCGAGCTAGGGAATCAGGAGCGACAGACAATTTAACTCTTATCTGTGTTTTTTTGAGGCCTGTGGAAGATTTATGGAAGCTGTTCATTGCTGATTTATAATTCTTAAATATTTAGTCCCTTTTTCTTTCAACCATGAGAAAGTTACTGATTGTTGGACGGTTTTTTGTCCAATTGTGCCTTGTGAAGTATTCTCTGGTGTTAGTCCTGCATGATCTGTATTTAATTCTCATCAGATAAGTCATTTCAGCTTTGTTATATTTATTAATTTATTTATTCAAGAAGGTCTTTGGGATTTTGAGATTATGGGCTGAAGACGGAAAAAATTTTATAATTTACTTTATTATTTCCTATATTATTCTTTTTTTCTATTTGATATATCTATTGTGTATTTTCCGTACTCGAACATTTAGCTCCTTTTACGCAATGTTTTTTTATGTCTTCAGATGTAAATTCGTCTTTTTCTAAATCCCATTTTATTTTTATCTTTTGTTTTCTCTTCTCTTTTCCTTCATTTATCTAATTTATTTATTTACTTATTTACTTGTCCATTTATTTATTTTTTATTTATTTATTTTTGATGTGTTCGCCCTTTGTGACCCAATTCATCTTTCTATCCTGAAGAGCGCCACTATTTTTTTGTTTTGGATTTTCCATCTAATTGGTCATGAATCTCACCACTTGTCCAATCCAGCTTTGTTTCCCATAATTTATTTTGATGGTTTCTTTTGTGCTCTTACCCAGAGCCTGATTAGTGCTAATATTGTCTACTTGCTTTTAATTTTTTCTTCCAGGAATTCTCAAGCGAAAAATTTCTGATTCCAGTTTTCACTCGAGCATTTATTTGCAAAGCTTTTTTCGAAATAAATTGTTTTCTGCTTTGCACATTCGTTTTAATATGTACCACTTTTATATAAATGTTCTGTTGTAAATTTATATATGTTTTCAATGTTACTCATATTTTAAGGCGTTTCATTTAATTCTGTATAAATTTGTGCTTGATATAAATGTAAATATAGTTCTGTTTGCATCCTTCAGGTGGAATTGTCTTTGCTTTATCACTTCGATTACAATCCATAGACACATGACAGCATCTGCATTAGAAGCCGTAGCAACGTTAGAATAGATTCAAACTTAAAAATTTTAAAAATTAAAAAAGAAAAAGAAAACTCGATGATGAGTTAATCGATGATGAGTTAATACAATTGTAAACAAATCATCTTTTATGTTCACCGCAGTTCTCGTATAATTTGCTAACAAATCACTATGTTGTCTGAGGTATTGGAAATATCAGTAAGCAATCTCCATTTCATTTATTCTGCAATTCACCGTACTGTTTATCCATCACTTTACCGTCATTTCTGCTCCATTCTCTCTGCAGAGTGAAGGAAAAGTAAAGAAAAAAGCGATTGGATGAGGTGGACAATGACCAGAATAAACGAGTATAGGAATAAATTCATCGTTATATTACATTTTACATATTTTAAACTGACCTGAAACTGTTATATTTAAGACTCATTTTCTCTAATCTTGAAAAACTCAAAGGGCATAACTCAATTATCCACTTTCTTGTACTTTTTCCTAAGGTCTGGATAATATTGTATTAGAGAAGTAAGTCCAGAATGGATGGCTTGCAATCTTACAAAATTCGACTAAATCACTTGAAATCGACCAATCTATTATTCATTCTTCCATTCATTCATTAATCTTCTGACTTTAAAAATTTTTCCCTGAAATGGTTATTTTTATAAAGTATAGTGAAGCAGTACAATCATTAGACGAGCTAAATACCGACTTTTTCCATTTAAAAGGTCTTTTCTGAAAGTTCTTCCAAAACCTAAGAATCTTTTTACTCCTCGAATCATTGT